ACCACCGACACCAACCGCAAGAAGCGCATCCAGAAGCATCAGATTCAAATCACCAAGAACCTCTTCGTCGTCTCCTGTGTCTGCTTCCTTCTCCCGTTGCCCAACTGCCTCTTCATCATGCTGGGGGCAGACAACCTCTTCCTGTATGGTGTCATTTTCTTGTTTGCTAACAGTGCTATAAACCCATTGCTGTATGGAGCCAAACATCCAATGTTCAAGGAGGTCATGCTATGCATCCTACATCGTCAGTGGTCCGACATCCCTGAACCATCCCGACTTCTGAAAGCTCTGCTGTCCAGGTCCAAGTGAATTCAATATAGAACCAACACTTTTCCCTTCTTGTATGTACATGTATATGAGTACAATTGGGGTAGTCGTGTCACGGACCTGAAGTTGATTAAAAGTCTGATTTGTGACCATAGTGAATCTCTTGCACTATACAGGGAACTGCATGCACAGCCTCACCTCATTAAACAAAGTACTATTACCACATCATTCTGCTGTAACATGGAAATTTTTAGATCCAAATTCTATCCAAATTGTATGGTAATCTCCAAAGTCCGAAGAAGTGTGTACAAAATGGAAAAGTTTTGAAACCAAACTGCAATATTATGTATTTAACTCCGGTTGTACATGAACAAATTGGTCAATTACACTGTAACCAATTTACAATACAGAGTGCAACCAAGAGGTTGCCAACGGAGGGAGGCCACTTTTCACAGTGCATTGTGGGAAATGGCTTACAAATCTATTCACAGGCTGCATGCAGGGAACTTGAATTATTTCTGATTTCCTATTTGTTTTTTAGATTCTTAAGTGTGTTTTGTGTAGCAGTTTGAAATAATCCTTTCCTTTTGCAATTGGGAATGGGTCCCAATCCTACCAAAATATCTACTGACACGCTCAAGTACAAAGTGCAAAAAGGCAGCTATGCTTCTGTCAACTGTAAATTTGAAAAATGGCGCAACTGCATTGTGAATTGCTGCTTTTGCATTGAGAACAATGGGTCTAGGGAATGCACACAGCTGGACTCATGCCTACTGGTGACATGTACTGTACAGCTGTGTTTGAATCAGCTGGCAACGGCTAGATGCAACAGACATGCATGGGAAGTGGCTGCAGCCGCTCCCATAGGCCCACATGTCAAATCAAGCCATAGCACAATTACAGCATGGCCCAAACACCTTCTCGGCTCCTGCTTTCCACTTTGGTGCAGGGCCCTCAAGCAGGTGTGTACACAGGGTATGTGGCCCTGCTTTCATTGGTGTCATGAACCATCCATTTGATGTGGTCGCCATGACTAGTGAACTCACCTGCCCTACGAGGAGAGGCACGACGACTGTGATGGACAGCTGAGTGAAGATGGAAGAAAACGGAACTGAACTGGATGATGCCATCTGCAAGATGACAGAGAGCAAGACGGAGAGAAAAAAATTGTTTTAATAGGTCGCTTTGTGACCTGCTGCATTTTCCCACACTGGCTTTAACATGTTCCTGGTTATTCTTCTGAAGTTACAGACAGGTTTCCCGTTAGAGGTCAGGATAACATGCCCCTGTTAAGCATTGCTGGCAGTCAAAAGTCTGATTGTATGATGTCTGTACGTGTACACGTACTGTACAAGGCTTGAACACATGTACATGTATGTAAATTTAACAAGGGGGCTTTTACATGTAACCGTCATTTATATTTTATATTTAGGTATTGCCCTTACCCAACGTGTATATTGATAAACACTGTATGCTCAGTGCTTGCAAAAAGATTCACCAGCTTACTCGGGTGGGACTCGAACCCACGACCTCCTGCTTACTAGTACAGACGTCTTAACCACGTCATTTATATCATTAGCGCACACAATGCATACAGACATTTAGAAGTGAGTTGTTTATTATAGTTGACTAAATTTATACATACGGAAAACGTATTTGCAACAAATGCTCTATACTTGAAAATTTAATCTTGGTCATTAATTTGTTAGAAATAAATAAGTTTGCAAATTTCTCTATTTGAAGTTTCCAAAGAAAAATTGTGTCAACAATTCTAGGCAATATGGTCTATTAGTGTCATGCACACATATGGACAAAAACTTTTGCCTACTAAACAATATGTACCCACATGCACATATACCAGTATAACATGTAATCCACTCTCATTTGCTAACAGTTTATGCAAACTTGTCAAAATGAAACTTAATCACCTGTCTGAAAGAATAAAAACCAACATGTAAACATATCCCAGAAACTGCTTTGAGAAGCGTTTACTTCACAGGTACCGTACATGTTCACCAAAGTGTTTGTGGCAAGAGACACAAATGGAAAGAGAAACCTGGACGCCCAACATGCATATTTGTTCTCTTAGATTTAATTAAAAGGGTTAAGGGGAATACAGTTCAAGCTTTGTTGTATGCCAGAAGTGAGGCTTATATCATCGTGTGCCCAGCAAAAGGTTGAGACCGAGCTTACGTGGGAAGCATGATCACAAAGGAAAAAAAGGTTCCTGGCAAAAGGGCCTACGAAACACACTCTCTTTATTCCGTAAAAACGGATAAAATTTACAGCCAAACCAACACAGGCTGTACAAAAAGCAACCTTTGAACAACTTATCTAATGACTTGGGAATTTTTTTTACACTCGTTGCAAAGAAATCTATATACTTCATTTAAATAAAACAGTTGCATACATGCGTCCTTTGGCTGGGAAAAGTTTTTTTTTACAGTGATCAAGCTTCCCAGCAAAACGGCATCAGTGCTTACGCCCTTCTTCCAGGCACACAACGATATGTAAAATGGCTAGCAGGACTTTAAATTTACAACTGTACATGGACTGGCCATTGCCCTACATTTACAAGAACATCATCTCATAGATTTTGGTGAATTTAATGCACAAAGTGAGCGAGAGGCTAGGCCAGCCGAGTACAGCTGTATGACAGTGCCGGTAAATGCAGGGTGCCTAAAAATTTTGAATTTTGGTTTCACTAGAGTTCCGGATAAAGAGTACATGGTACATGTACAAGTTTGTAGTTGATGCAGGATGTACGTATGTACTTCTGATGGCGTACGGTATTGCCTATGATGGACAACTTGATGCAAACTCGCTCTTGATCTCTGAAATGATCTGTACATGTATAGGTTTCTTGCAACAACTCCACCAAATTTGCATCCCTGTGAGTGATCATGTTAGCCTTGCAGTCTCCATTTACCTGGGCACTCCTGTCACATTTTTAGATCCACCATCCAGCACCCAAGAAGGAAGATATCACAGAAGATGTTCAGAGTTTAGGTTATTGTACTATCTGGTGTGTGCACCTGCGTAATGTCTCTGGAACTTCCACTTGTTTTTGAAACATGAAACATCCTGCTTGTGAGAAACTGAAGTCACGGAAAGTTCAAAATTACTTCTTGGGAATTTGTGCTTAGAATCTTCTTCCATCCTTCAAAATCTTCCCCTTCGAAGGAACCCAATGATGCACGTACATGCATGCTTTGCGTACATGAACTTTCAAGGGGCATCAAGCCCAACCGGTAAGTAAACTAATGGAGGCCAGCCTCTACCTTGTTCAATTGTTAAAAACCATAGTTACGAGTTCATAGTACAGATACCCTAAATGGATAATGATATCTGGATTTATTAAGAGGATTGGCACTATGTGGGATGAGGAGTAACCTGTAGTAATTCCTAATATGGGCTTCTCAGTTTAATATACATACATGTATATCTGTTTGCTATACAGCTATGGTTATACATGTACGTTTCCATACATTTGAACTGTTATCTATTCTAGCAACCATTTCTTTCCAAAGTGATCAAAACTTTAAATGCTAGTGCCCATGCGCACATACAATCATTGTTAACTGATAAATGTTTCTGAAAACAAGTCCTTGAATTATATCCACATTCCACTTTTAACTGAAACTAAGAATGAGCTGTAGAATATAAGAGATTGTTAATAGATGCGCATTTGATAATTCAGGTATATTCCCTTAAAAGGGCAACATAAATGCCATGTACTCCCAAATTTCCCTCGTTTGACAGGCCCTATTGAAGTGAATTCATGGATAAATCTTACCAACAGAGGGCAGCCTTGGAGCTGTCTATTTTTTGCAGCCAAGGCAGCCATTTGGTTAATGTGTGCGCCCACACACAATGGTCATTAAGAAGAAATGTGTACATATCAATGATACAGGGGCTAAAAAGGGATTCCATATTTCTTCGATTACAAAATACAGCCAGGGTCATTCTGTTAATGGCAAGGGGGGCAAAATGAAATGAGCCTTTAATGATCCTTCGTGCTCCAAGGTAAATTACAGAGGCGTACGCCATTATTGGCAGCATAACAATGACAATATAAATGACTTCCTCCACGTAATTTAGCCTGTCACACTGAAGATTATGATGCATATATTTCACAGCATATACCCTCTCACTTTTTTCCCTGGTTCCAAAAAGAAGGGATTTTTATGAGGCACAGATGAAAATTATGAATGAACAACACACCACAAGCAGCTTTATGACATTATCAATGCGGCACCATGACAATCAGGACTTCAAAAGACGGAAGAAAACCCAGGAACCCTGGACCACTGCATGCAGGACCAGTACATGATCATGTCATATGTACATGTACCAGTAACAAGCCCTGTTTTTGGAGTCCTGGTAATTTGAGCAACCCTGGAGTCTTGCACTTGCATTATATAGCATTTGTCACAAACAGGTTGGGGGATGACACTTGAATACCTCGATGCACAAAAAAAAAAGGAATCCTTGTCTCTCAGCTCAGTTCTTGTAATTTGAACATCCCTGGAGACTGGCACTTTCATTTTCGACCATTTGTCATAGATGTTGCACCGTAAACGGACTACCGGTATATTGTAATGTATACGGTGGAGATTGGAGGAACGGGAATAATCCACAACATAAGCACAAGAGATTTTAAGGGTCCCGCGGCAGTGTAGGGTCTACGGTACACATTTGTGTTAGCCAAAAGTCACTCCTAACAAATACTCATTTTTTTTTGTTCTGCATATATGTGCAAAAGACCACGATGGTACCGGTAAACTCAGGAAATTCCAGATTCTAAAAGAGATTGCTTGAAAAAGCAGTGAGCCTGGTGTGTATTTGCACTGTACTGGTGCACTGCTTGTGTCCAAATCTGAAATCTGAACTCAAGACAAGAGAGCTGATATTCCAGGGTTTGGAGATAGCCATACATGTTCTTTATCCTCGATATCAACCCTAACAGAGCAGATCTCTTTAATCAAGCTTTGCTTTGGAATGGTTTCCTTCCCAAGCTCTTGAAAATGTCCAAAGTTTTCACAAACCCACACAATGTACACCTTAATTTTAGGCTTTTTCAATTAATTCTTTTGAAATGTACACGTACACTGACATGTATACTCGCATGATAATTTGCAGTTTAGTACAAGTACTCAGTAACAATGTAGATTTCATATCCTTTTTAACTGCCTAGCAGGAATTTGCATGACTTTTTTTTTTTGGAACCTTAACCCCTGCACCTGTGAGGTTCATGATGGGGGTGGGCTATCATCCTCGACCCCTTCAATTAGGTAGAGTACATGTACATGCATATGTTGCTCTACAAATTTACATTACGAATAGCAGTCACAAATGCACATCATGTAATATTATGGCTTCCAACCTACTTCCCCTGAGCTGTGGAGTTTTTTGTACCCATGAGCTCCATGCAAATTAAAAGATTTCTAATAGTTTATACAAGAACCAATTTGGTAACAAATGCATACAGGTACGTGTACATGTATTACAGTACAGTGTACTTTCCCCTGACAGTAGGCTACAATGTACATTCACCCGTGTAGTCAAATTTGCCAAAATTCCACAAATCAATTTCCATACACCATCTGAAACTCTCCTGACCTGTTAGACTGAGAATTTTGGAAACAAAGTGATGGCAGGAGGTTTTAGACTGAGGACAAAATTCAGCATCTCCGAGATGGGCAAAATGCACGGCCCAAAGTGGAGTTTGAGAAGAGAAATGAAAGTAAACAAGGTACCCATATACATCCTGCATTTTTGATAGTTACAATTAGCTGGCACAGAAAGGCTTCTTTTCTTCAACTTTTCAATGTAAGAGTCGTCTATTTTTTTTCATCGCTTTTACCAGCAGACGGTACAACCTGATCACCAAGGGTGAACTTTTTTCAAAATATTAGAAATAAAGATGAATTATTTTTCCTTTTCAGTTTGTTTGTGCTTGGAGGGGAACTGGATCCAAAGTACTAACTGGATGGCTCCTTAAGCAACATCAGAAATGCCGACAACCGGATGCAATGTACCCCCTCCCCCGAAACAACATTATTGACTTGTTGTCGCGTTACAGATCATTTTCCAACGACGACGTTGTTTGTCCAGAGTGTATTGCTGTCAACAGTGCCCCAGGCTGTGGCCGGCGGCAGGTTTCCTTTGTCCAAATGACAAAGCAAGTTTGGGTAGTACTGACAATGCTGGTTTCTTTCTTGCCCGTGCAAATACAGGGCACTTCCATTCTGTTTACAGTGACATGGCTAATCTGCCTCTAATGCCTATTGTGTTGTCCCTCGGCCCACAACAAAAATTATTGGGTAGTTGTTGGCATGTTACATTTCGCTCTCTACATGTATGCTTCATCTGGCGGGAAATACGTTCCTGCCTTATTGGGTGGAATTGGTCACACAAAAATCTATAACTGACTTGAGTAATGACACAATGGGCAATTTCCCTTCTTCAATAATGCTTTTTCTAAGCTTCTCAGTATGACTTCTCGCTTTTTTTTTTTATCTTAGTTTCAATTATTGTGGAGTCACTAATACAGGGTGAAATGATCCAACAATTTATCAATAATTACAACATGAGAATGCTTGAGATCTATACCAGGACATCTAGCTCTTCACAAAGTTAGCTAAAGACGACACAAGGGACACCAGATGTCCAAATTTCAGACAAAATACTTTGTAACTTTAAATCAAACATTAACCTTGTAAAAAGTTTGTCCAAAATAATCTTCTGGCCTTTCAATCAAATTGCAAACAAATAAGATAAAAGTGGAACAGTTTAATTCAAAGTGTAAGCTATTGGTATACTCTGATGTAAAATGGGGGGGGGCAAGAGAAAGCCAGGAAACACCCAGCAGTGAGGGTAGTAATAAATAATATACCGAGACTTTTCACAACTTTTGATGGCTGTAAAAGGCAAGAGTTCTCCCCAAATGCCTTTGCTGACGTGCATTTTGTACACAGTGCGAAACGGTGGTAAAAATGTTCACAATTAGAACTCCACCATGTCAGAAATTTGAGGCCACAAAATCTTGAAATCTTGAAAAATCCCCAGAAACAGCATCCCGGCATTCCTGTAGTCACTCAATAGAAATCAATTACCACAAAATCAGTCGTCACTAGTAGGACATTCCTCACGTTAATGGCCAGGCTGAAGTGTAACAAAATGCACCCCATGTTAGTGGCTTAACGGCTAAACGACGTCCACTGCATCCCAAACTCTGCTGTCCCCGGCACGTGCCCCTATGAATTTTTGATCCCTCCCCATGCAAGATTCAACGGAGTGGCTCATCGTCAATGCAATCACGGCAACCGCCTCTTGCTAAATGTCCCCGCAACCACTGTGTGCACTCCCCCCTCCCTTTGTTTAGACTGTCTGCGTTTGAGGTGATGAATTTTGAAATGGTGTCACCGTCGCGTACTCCGACACTAAATCCGTAATTAAAACCCCATCAGATTGGAAGGTCAAGCCTACTTCAACAGGCAAGTCATGTATGGGCTTGTGGGTGGCTGTTCCTTGTAACGATATTCAGCTGTTATTACTGAAAAGCAATACAAGCTTATGAAAAAGTGAGAGAAACTTGGAGTCTAATATCAACCTCAAACAAAAACAAATAAAAGCAAACTACGAAATAGATAGTACATCTGCAATGAATATAAACATGTACATGTATGTCTACGTACATGTATACATGTATGAGCTTGAATCTAAGCAAATCCATTCACGCTTTGGCATTTGGATGCTTACTTGTATAAACTTCATTCAGCGCAGAATATCTGAGTACTTGAGGGAGGCATTAATCGCCCTAAGTTCACACAGAGCACAACCAGCATTTGTTTCAATTGGGCTCCAACTTTTCAACCACCTTTCTTCCCACCCTTCCCTCCTGACCAGAGCAACATAATTTATTAAGTTGTTGGCTTATTACTTATTGAAACCTAATCCCGATTGTACTCCCTGCAACTCTCCCATTCATTTCCATATAACTGTCGGATAACCTCTTCTGCTCCTAGTTTTCATTATTTATCGCAGACCACTCTAGGCTATGATTTATTCAAGGTGCACTGCTGCTTATTTGAAAAAACGGCCAAAAATACACTTCTAATCCTCTTGCACTGACACTACCGGGGCATCAAAAATGCATGCCAACCATGATAAATAATTCTTTTCATCCAATCTTGATCCTATCCAGGATGGCGATGCACATCCCCTGAAAACTTCTAACCTATCATGGCGGTCACAAGTTGAATTCCTTTGAACTGATTGGTCGAGGCAAATTCTGGACTAGTCAATTTCTCTTTCTTGGTTTGGCCTAATGTTTTTTATACTCTTGGTATCAATGACCCCGCTTTAACAGGTGTCTGTATCAATGCAGTTGATTGAATTCCAAGCATAAAAGACCTCTTGCAATATTCATCAATACAAGTGTCGGCTTGGATAAAATTGGTGTTCACAATAAATGTTCGAACCGATGTTTAACAAGGCTTGCCTTTTTCCCCCAAAGTGGAATTACATGTGTAGGTACACAGCTCTGAATCATTCCATTTGATGATTTAATCATTAAACAGGGGATTAAGCTGACCACATCGATATCACCTCCAAGGGGAAAGCCACTTCGTCTGGTGGCCTCATGGCGGGAATCTTTGAGGCATTCAAAACTCCGGAACACCTTGTCTGCCCCACCCCGAGCCCTCATTAAATATTAGTTAGGCGTCTCAATTGCATCGCTAATCATTAAGGGAACAAGTCAAGTGCCACTAATGCTATTGAACTGCCTCTCTGTCACTATCTTCCTGAATGTGAGTGTTTTCCAAACAAGAGCAGGTCCCCCACACACGAGCACAACAGGGCAGGGGTAAACAAGTGGATTTTGGAGCGCTGGCGATGAAAACAAGTGTGTACTTATTCTGTGGGATTACCCCTTTTTGAACGGCCAGGGCTTTGAGTGGAAGGAGGAAGTGTGACAGGATAGGCTGATCAATACAAATCTTGCATGACTTATACCACTGGTTTGACTCTTCAAAGTGAAAAAAAATGGGAGACAGATAAACGGTCGTACCGGTACATGTACATTCCAAAAGCAATTTTACACAAACAGCGAGACAACCCCCAAACACACACACAAAAAGCTTTTGAAAAGATAAAAGAGGAACTTACATGCACGTAGATGCTGGTAAAAACTACACATGCACTGTTTTCTAAAGTCAGAGGCAAATACACTCAATAGCTAACAGCTACATGTACATGCATGTATAACATACATGGCAAATACACACCTGTTTTGCTCATCAATTTGGTCAACAAGATTTGACATTCATTTGAAATGAGAGAAAAATATGCAGATCACAGAGCTCTGCACGCATCATAAAGCCAAGTTACCCGGTACCTTGTCTCTCTAACAAAACAAAGATAGTTGTTACATGAGTGTTGGTAATTAATTTCCACAAGACATGGAGCTTCCAGCAAACACATATACTTTGGAAAGATTACCCCCAGCCCCCCCCCAAGAAAGTACATGTACGAAGTACATGTTTTGTATTGGAACTAGCCCACATTCTGTGTACATGTATACACTTGTACACATACTGGTACATGTACAAGAGCAGATGTAACCCAAAACTACACACATGCACATGTATATGTACTGTACATGCAGTTGAATGGAATTTTCTCCTCAAAGGGTGACTTCTGATGAAAAACAAAAATGGTATCAGGAATCAAAGTGGGGTAAGAACAACTGCCATGCATACTAAGAGTTCATACACATGTACGGGCACAACAATCCATTGTTCTCTGGCTTTAAAATTCAGAAGAATAATGTTCTGTGCTAACGGACCAGTTGAAAACAAAACTCAGCTTCGCAGAGATGAGCATGCCATTTTTTTTGTTTTATTTTTATATTTTTACAATTGAGCTTCAGATTCCAGAATTCCTGGAGATAATTTGAAACTTACCAGTAGGCATACTTGACATATAAAAAAATACCCTGGGAATTTTTCAGGGAATTCCACAACAGAGCTTCTTCTATTTTGCCATCTTCCCTTTGAGAAGCTGTCGGCACTTTTGAATTTCCCGCCCAGGAGAGTTAAACGAAGTGGAAAAAGTTACTCACGGACACCAGCAGCAAGACTGGGGTGACGACAATACCCTGAACAGGGGAAAGTAACAAGAGACAAAGGTTTTTTTTGATCATTTGACACAAGGATTAAGGCACTGAATGACTAGCAATTAGATTCTTAGAAGCCGACACACAGAGAGGGGACTAAAGAGAGATAACCGTACATGTATGTGCCTGTTATCACAAGGGCTTGGCCTTGCTCAATAGCAGATCAGCATTAATCTACAGTGAGCTCGAATCAAATATGGATGAGGGTATTCTGGTCGCGGACAAAGGGAGACAGCCAAGGGAACATGGGAGCCTTTGGAGGGGACATTATCTGGAGCACGTTCGCGTAGAGATTTTATGATACATTGGGATCTGGGCCAAGACTTCGTCGAATGATCAACGTACACTGTACAGTAGATGAAGATACTTTGTGTTGGGCATCATATAAAATGTACATTGTATGTAACAGTATGGCCTCATCAAAATTTGCGAAGACCTGTATTTCAATCTCTCTTAAAAGCATTACTATAAAAAGACATTCCTCAAAGACTTTCTTCAAGAACAATTGTTTCATCGGAATAACATTTTTATTACAAGTAATCCACTTACTAAGAAACTTCCAAATGCCGAGTTGAATATTGCTCCTGCCTGTAAGAGAAGAAAGAAGGAGGGACTTGGAGTTTTTACTTTGGGAATTCAGATTGAAAGACACTCTACAAATGCACTCATTACACTGGATAAAATCTCATTTTCTCAGAGACTTTTACAAATCCATTAGCCAAGTCACACACTACACATACTAGTGCTTGTCGCATATGGAATGATTTGTAACATTTTACTAAAGAAAGAAAAGAAAGAGAAGGAAAAATATCCTATTATAGTCACACCACATGCACCGAGGGGAATGTACTTTTCCTGACAAAAGTTCTAACGTAATTAAATTATTGAAATAAAGGATTAAATGGAAGTTCATAGTGCAATCATGCCATCCTTATGGATAAAAAGTAATGAGGTGTAAAAAAACCAAAAAAACAAAAAAAGGTTTAAGCAATGCATTCTTTTGAAATCACTACATACATGTACATGTACTCGTGTAACTGACCTTCATTATTATTAACACAAAGCCAAGTTGTGATTTTAATATGACTGAATGCATTTGCGCACAATGACAAGAGGCTACATGTAGCTCTCCAGAATAATTACTGCAGTGGGGGTCTGGTGGAGCCCATCTTTTGGCAAATGGAAACCGATCGGGTTGCATACTTTAAGCATTAAGAGCTCATTCCAATCCGATCAACAAGTCCGCCATGTGGAACATGCCGTAATCAACAAATCACTGCGGTGGAACTGCCATTGCTCATACAGTTAAAAAAAAAAAAAGGCTGTCCTCCATGCTTGGCCGGCAGACTGTAATGGGCACAGTAATTGACTGCAGTAAACAACCTATGCAGATGGGCATTAAATGAGCCTTCTGGCACCAAGCTAAGATTTCAATGTGATCTATCTTTTCCACGGCTATCCCCATGGAGAATGTAATGTAAATATCACCTGGTTTTTGTCGTCTTTTTTTTTTTGGCTCCTCCCTCGGAGGACTGTGTTCTCAATTTCACAATGCGCATGGTTGTAAACTCATTGTGTTGCTGTGATTTTACGAGCCTGAGGGAGGAACGAGTTTATAACACACCGCAAATTCACCTCAAAGATCTCAATGTATTATTTCAAGTTACAAATTTGGGCAAGCACACTGTAATTCTACAATTTTTATTTAGAATTTGTCACTGACAGAATTAAGGCTAACAGTTGTTGATCCTCCAATATCAATTTGATTCCACGTACACTGCACACCCATGGGGGTTAGGGTCAACGCTTACCATCAGATGTATCTTTTCAACAAAGTTTTTCTGCACGTAGCCATTTTCAGCACATTTTCAAGCATGTCCTATGTGACTTAAACCAATGAATCACAGCAACTTATGTTTATGTTCAATGTATATCCTTAGTTTCTTGGTCAGACAGCTACATGTACAGTTTACGTGTACTAATGTACGTGTACATGTACACTGTACATGTAAATTGATTGAAATGTCAACAGCGTAATGTTTCTGATGACTTACGGTACATGTACCAGTAGACAGTCTTTTTCACCCACGCTGCACAGAGGACAAAATGCCCTACAAAACCTGCCTTCGCAAAATATTTCATTCAAATAGGGTCACAGCACGACTCTGATCTTATGGACCACAGTAAAAACACGCAATCATTCAACCAGACAATGTACTGGTACATGTAACGCAGGCCCATTGACAGAAATACGGTATTCAATTCCAGGTGCTCTAGAACTTTTGCATATGACTTTACAGTACAAAGTTACAAAAGGATGAACAGCAGACACATGTACAGTGTATATACAAACATGTACAAGTACACATGTAGTCTAACAGTATATACTGAATGTTTACAGTGTACATGTACATAGATACAGAGTACTGTGCCCAAACTGTGTAATATTCATCTTCATTTGGACGAACAAATGAACAATATTGTACATATACTGGAGAGGGGGGTTAAACAAAGGATACTGAGCAGTGCAGGAGTGGAACTTGTGACTCGTAAAAATGTTTGACAGGTGCTCTACCAACAGAGTAATCCGGCCCTACATGTACAATGTACCATGCTGTATATCCCAATGACTTCAAGTCTTTGCTCAAGGGGAATAAACTTGCATTGATAGGCATGTCAGGGGCAACACGGGTAGGGATTACAAGTAATGATGCAACATTATTTAGCATAAAATACCAAGAACACCTGTGATGATTTAAACCATGGATATGACATTTGCTGAATGCCACAGGATACATTTCTTTAATTCCCAATTATCAAACCACGGAAAAGAACTGATTAGTATCAAATTCATTTACATGGAACTAAAATAAATGCTGTTTACTAACTTGATTTTACAAATCACCGTCCCCCCTCCAAAATGTAAGAATTTCCGACAAGAAAAAAAAATGCATCCAAATTCTGGAACCTGATGGATACAAAATGATCTACAGGAATAATGTGCCTTATCACCTCCAGGACAAGTGCTGTAAAGCCCCCTGAGGTTACGTGTCAGAACAGGGCAACACATATTTATACAAACGTGAAGAGTGTGTACTTCACTTCATGATGGCCTATTGATTTCAGCTCAGCAAAGGACTGGGAATATGAACAGGTCACACATGTACAAGAATGACTGTGTGTTTATGGTAGCCTGACCTCAATCAATTTGCCACCTGAATAAAACAAACCCAACATTTTTTCTCTGCCACAGTGGGCCCAAAAATGTAAAAAGGCTACAATAGAAAAAGGAAAGGCTCTCAGTCCAGGTAAAATAAGCAGTTGAACTGTTCACTGGTTAAAATGGTTCACGAAGGCCACACTCAACATCATTGGGCAGTATAAAAGGCAACATTAATGATTATGAACAGAAACAAAACTCTTTCTCCTAACTTCCTTGAATATTTTTCAGGATGTTACCATGAACATACACTTATTTTCTATGCCTTATCAATAATGAAGACACGTAGATGTACTGAGGGATATGGACATATTTTGACAATACAGAAAGTTGGATGACTAGGTTGGATGACACACTGTCGAGCGAGGAAATGCTTAGAATGCTGCTTTTATCCTGCAAAAGTCATTATGACCAAGCAAATATCTGCTGGGGCTTAGAGACGATGTGACTCGACTGCATACAATGGACATAACCTTAAGCACTGAAAGGTACCCGGTATAATCCTTGTAATTTACTGGAGGTCTCATCTGGTGTGCTGTGTTAAAAGCTGCATGTACGTGTCTGTGTCCAGATGACAGGTTGAGGAAAATGAATCATGCATTTCCCCATTGACACATGTACTATTTTCATATATGCACTGTGTTTTCCTTTTCACTGTTAAAAGTTGTTCAATGCACGTCATATTTTCAACTTTGATCCTGACGGACCTGAATCCACCGGTTGCTGAAGATTTTTGGACCTTACATGTACCTTGGGAGTCAATGTAAACAAAACCCAACAAAATTATGTCTACTCTTGCTATCATATGAGAAAGTTGCACAGATTCACTCCGAATCTTGACAGGTCAGAGTTCAGAAAACACTCTTGACTAATCACGGGCTATTGTGTTCTTTATTATTACCTGCGACCATTCTCAATTCAAGATTCTGTGCATTTTGCAATTATACCATGGGCGTCGGGGTTAATGTGCAAACATACATGTATCACAAGGATGAATACATGTATGTACATGTAAGTCTCCAACTACACGTAGGCCTCAAATGGTTCTAAACAACTTAATGTGTAGTTCAATCATCATTATACTCTTGTCATGAAACAAAACAAAATGCATACATAATGTACAGGACATGCTCGTGAATGAAGTGGAAGTGTGATAAAGCAGTTCTCAACAAAGTCCTGAAGAAGGCTAGAACAATTAATGAGTGTCCCAGTGTGACATGTGTGTATGTCAGTTTGAAATCATCTACATGCATTTGCTTGTATGTTGAACCAGTAAAATGAATCTTGACCAGCTACTGTAAAATGCCAAGCCAATATAAATAAGTGATTCCTCAGTTTCAAATTCAGTGATGAATGCAAGGCTGCTCCCAGAAATCTTAGTCCACAGCTTGCCATGGCACCCATGGCTACTGAAGTCACAGAATCTATTCATACAGGTAATCTGGGATGTACATGAAGTCTTAAGTTTCCAAATCTCACCTCATTGCCTCCTGCAGCTTTGGTCAGGATCACAGCTGATGACACAGGTGGCGGCATACAGCCGACAACTTGCAACCTGAAGGGAGTGAAGGAGACACTGCATAAATGGACTGGTGACTCACTGATCCACGTCCATGGAAAACACGCTTTAAATGCTGCACTGACTGACTGAGACTGATGGGCAAGACAGGGTGGAGAGCACTGGGCCAGACTGGGACCCCGAGTGCATTCAAACTTTAAAAACATGCAAAACAAACATCAGAGTCAACTTTGCTCCATTTGAAGCCGACGAATTCACTACTGTGTTAACGAGTCAGAGGGACGTTCCTCAAGAGTTTGACCCGCAAAGTTTGAGTCCACATTTCAATCTTTTAATGGTGAACTTTCTGACGTTTAAAGTTAGAACGGTACATGTACTTTGTTCAACCTTTTCCAACAGATTTACAATTCAGTAGTCTGGGAGCTTGACCCTTGAGAGAGTACTTAGGACAGAAACTGCAAAGCACACTTTTTAATACAGTTGGTTGATGGGAATTTGATGCAGTTACATGTAAATGGTGTCAGATAGGCTATGTATCAGTCTACCAGTATTTTCTTGTGTTGCATGCTTTCACTGTCTCCAGTTTAGGACTTTTAGGACAGATAATCCCAGATTTTTAGCCTTGACCATACCCTACACCACACTTCACAATCCATCCCGAGCTGAAGTGCACCCCCATTCGGCTAAAGAAAGACAGCTACTTACAAGCGGGTTCTTGCACGTGTTCTGCATGTTCGCAAAGACCATATATGCCAGAGTAAATTAGTTACGCGTACTCAGCGTGCTCAGTGTCAAATGCGCATATACTACGCACCTCATGGGGTGCCTATGCGGTGAGTACCAAAAAAAAAAGCCCTCTTTTGTTCCTGTCGGAGTGGATATACTACACTTCTCTACAATGTCCTATACATGTCCTTGTGATGAGCTCTGCCATCGTGGATGCCTTATAAAACTAGACCCTTAGCCTGAAAGCAGTGCTGTTGTTGAGGGGCACTCTAGCACCACTGATGCCATGCCTTATAGAGAGGCACTTTTCCCCTCTGCTACAATACTACGTTTCCCTCAACTGCTGTTATCCACTTAAGCATTAGTGGCCAGGTTGACATGGCAGAGTCTTTCTGTGTTGTCAACGCACAGAGTTCCCCCCTCAAAAGGTTAGTTGGTGCCAACAGAAAACCTTGGAGATTTTTAACTTTGTCCTTGGCTTTGCCCTGCTGACACCTTCTGAAACACTCCCTTGTATGGGGGGGCAGGCAATTTCTTTAAAGAGTGTGCAAAACACACTCTCTTCCTCTGACCTCTCTCCCTTCTGAAAGTCTAACACAGGGTGATGATGGCCATGCATTATTTTCCCACGGTTTTTGAAATGTGCACACTGGCTACTAATCCCTCTCTTACTTAAAATTTGAACGCTCATGAAAAATCAAGAAAAAGCAAAAACAAAAAACAATAATGAATGACCCCTATAGAGTGCATGTACATGACCTTTAAAACAGTGCATGTCAGGGCTACAAACGCCGGCATGTTGGTGCTTCATGCATCGGCATCTTACCCTTTAAGAAGCCACGCATCCACTGGTGTCAGCATCAGAAAGTGGACCAAGACCCACACAAGGCATGGTATAAAGACAAGGGTAAATCCCTGAATGAAGACGTGTAACCGGACATGGAGTAGTGCTGCGCGAAGGTCCTGCAGTGAAAATGATTATAAATGAAGATACACGTAGGTATGAACAAGGAATAGTAAGAACAAATTGCATTTATATAGTAAGTGCTCTGACAGGCAGTGCCTTCAACTGAGTTGGGAACACGTAACCCACTCTGTGAAAATAGTCTGGAGTCACCAGACCCACTTTTTGAGTTTTCATTTGTATTGGAAAGAGCAAATTGATTTTTTTTTGTTTTGATGTATCACTCAGTTTTAGCATCCTGATGAAAGTGGATACTTCATGGAGCTGTGGGTTCCTTTTGACTGGCACTATGCAAAATTATTCTAAAGGACTTTTTACTCCAAAGTCATGAAAGTGGCTCTGGCAACTTAAGACTCATTTTCACAGAGAGAGTCACATATATTTTGGGCGAGTCAGTCTTGCATATGCCCTGGGAGCCTGGAGGTTCCTGAAGTTGGGTGCAGCAGCTGCAAGTACCCAATGTCCACTGAAATGTTAGTGGGTGTGACCATGTAGTTCTGTCAGCTTCACATTCTGCTGACTTCACAGGCACAAAATCTGTATCAAGGACTGCAGGTTATGCCTAGATGTGCTCTATGAAACAAGAACAGTAAAACAGTACTTGTGAAGTCCCTCTGGATTCGACATTCCAAAGAACTTGATATGATGTCTGACTAGCGCCTGGACTCACTCATAGTGGATTTGAGACAAAGAGTGGTAAACCTTTCCAAACCTACATGTATCTCACTCACTGATGTCAGAAAGTTGTCACAGAACCAGTGCATGTACGTGCAAATTTTCTTACTTCTGTTTTTAGTGATAACCCGCTGTTGAAGAAGATAAAGGAAACTGCAAAGTACTTGACGGTGATCTCTGGCCTCAAAGGTCCTGAAAAAAAGGGAAAAGAATGACGGGAATCCCTCTTTGAAAGATCGAAATGTATGAAGGCAGACTGTACCCATGTTCCCATCTGGTCAACTTCACTGTACATGTACTTAACAATGGCCAATCCTATTGGTGAATCATACATGTACATGAACATACAGTAGTGCTTGCATATGATACAGGTGTCAGTCAGTGAAATGCGCACTCTAAAAATCATTACACAAGCTTGAACTTGCGCAGTTTATCCAAGAATCTATTATTGAAGATTTAATAAGCTCACCCTTTATACAATTAACATTACGTATTAACAGATGAAATACTTTTCAAATGTATAAGCTTTCGAGTTGGCATGATTGCCAAAGTCCATTTCAGAATAAGGAACAAACTTCATCCCTAACCTTCCCCAACCACACAGAATTAAACAGTAGTAAAGTGTTTAATTCTGTGGGGACAGGTCTGGTAGGTCCATAACAGCTGGGTTTTTGCACTGGGTTTGGCATACCTCAGAAAAACAAAGTCCAACAGCCTCTGTGCACAAAGTCCCATATTGGTGTTTAACTTTGTGCGAATGGGGAAGGTTAGGGCCAGCAAGCCTTGGGGGCTTAGGGTTATAAAAGGAAAAGGAATCCCAAGCTACTGTTCAGTACATGTGCGTCCGTGTCCACAATATGTACCTGTATTTGCCAGCACCCACTGCCTTTAGACAGGGAGCTGGAAAGAGCTGTTGAGAGCAAATTGGATAAACTGCGCAAGTTCAAGCTTGTGTAATGATTTTTAGAGTACACATTTCACTGACTGACACCGGTACATACATGCAAGTACTACTTGCAATTAGCACCCAGGTAAATGGAAACTGTTACAAATTGACAACTTTCTAGAATTTTTGCCATGCACAGGATTTTCACAATCCTGATAAATCACTGTAACAAAGCATTTATTAAAATCTTTTGATTTCCTGTAGTAATTTTCAGCATTAGGAACTGTTAGGATTTAAAAATTATGCCACTTAGAACTTAGTTTGTAATATGCTCAGTCTACATGTAAAGTTCTCGTTGTCCTCACATTATAAAATTAACACCAATACGAAATGTAGCCCTTTGGGGGAAAGTGTGTGGCTGGTGCTAGTGTCACACATTAGGGGCGCGTCTTTGTGACCATGACCAGTAATGCCTTGATTTTTGCAGCGTTGCTTACGCCTGTGCGACGTCATTCTTCGGACAATGTTCTAACCAACTTCAAATGAGTATTGAAGGTTGAAGTGGCGGAAAACAGGGAAATGGAAGAGAAGACAGTTTTTGTCATCTCTGAATACTGCATGCAGCCAAATAAGAGGGTACGATTTCTACACTGAGAAAAAAGGAGGGAGGGAGCATATGCCAAATACATATACTATGGAGAACACAGTTTATTATGCATGTTGTCTGCTACTTCTAGCTAATGAAAAGATTTTGGATGACCACGTCCCTCTAACAATTTAGGTCTCAAAGAAAGTTAGCCCTGTCCAGCGCTGTTAGTATCAAGTGAACACGAGCTTAACCTACGTGTACAGCTCACCTGAAATTCAAATTTTTGGTTTTTTTCTATTACCATCTTCGGTGATTTTCATGCTGGCCTTAAATGTTTATTTCCATTTTTCTTATGGAAAATGCATTTTTTCACAAAAAAGTGTATTTTTCAGATGTAAATGTACATACATTTATCTCACCGACCCCGCAGGCAAAGACCTCTTGACTTTTATTTGAACATAGTCAACATTGAAACAAGGCTGATTTTTCACATTAAATAAATTACTACAACTAGTGTTGTCACATCTTAGGCTGTGTCCGAAATGGGCTTCCAGAGCTCCGGCTAGGTCTACTGTCTACGCGTCTCCACACATTTCCAATAGAGTGAAGACCTAGAACTAGCTCTAGACAAGAGATTCGAATGCAGCCATCGCTTCATGTACATCAATCTGTTATACATGTAGCTCAGTTAGAACACATATACATGTACAGTACATGTACCGGTGACTACATGTCGTCTGCTGACGGTGGGCTCATTACTTCATGTTGTCCATTGAAGTTGAGCATTTGTGGACGTACCGTACCTCTCAAACATCCATGTGCCATGGCAGCATATTATAGCAAAAATTGCTATGCGACTTTCAGGGACTTTGTAAAAAGTGAAGATGTGAAAAGAAATGTTGAACAAATTTGAAATAAATGGCTCGCAAGAGCTGTATTTGGTAAGTCCAACTACATGCATTTGTATATAAAATGGACACTAAGTTCGGCCGTGGTACATCATGTACATGCATCTTGCTGTATTAAAAAGCAGAAAATATGTGTACACGTACATGGTTCTAAGCACACTATCCACAAACTACAGGTCAGGGACAAACCATGACAATAATTCATGACTTTTACATACCCTATGGGCTTGGGCGCACTTTATGCAACCATGTACATGCATATGAATCAAAGAGGGTGCTGTCTACCATATCTACGCGTACACGTTATGTACTTATGTATGTACATGTAGCTCATCCCCAGAACTGTGGGATTCAACGTTCACCACGTTCCCATGCACAGTGGATGTGCAATTTAAAGTGAGCTGCCAAACCAAATTAAAACATGGGGCAGCACGGACATCCAGGTGTTTCACAAAATTGCGGGCAGCAACAACACTGTGCCAGTAAAACAAATGCAATGACTGAATGAGCACTCGCGCATGTGCTGATCAAAGAAAAAATTGTGTAATCCGATCCTCGGACTGGCTGGTGCATGTGTACGTTGCCATGGTCACTGTTTTTACCCCCATGCACATGATATACGCACACAGTTGGTTCAAGTGTTCCTGCATCCATATGGGCCTACACAATTTAAAGTTACATTTTATTTGTTCATGTTTAGAGTGACCTAGTAGTACTGTTGATTGTGTGGCCGTGTGGCCGACTACGCACTGAAGTGCCACGTGTACCCACACATATTAATATATGACACACAGGGTACAAGACCACTTTCACCACCTTACATGCCTACAAAATTAAATTCAATAAAAACATGAAACAAACCTCCTTTGGCTCCAATAAATGGTGCCAAATCTGCCAAGAATATAACAATAGTTATAGCCAAAAGAAACCAGTTGTCTTTTAACTTGTCGAAGACTGTCATTCTGGTGATTTCTAGCGACACCAACGAGAACACTTCCTATTAGCCAGCTGGGCCTCATCACTTTCTAACTACGATGTCAACACACTCACATAAAATAAATCTCTTACTTATTTTTTAGTCCAAAATGACGGTTTTAAGTAAAAGAAAAGAAAAGAAACGAAGAATTTAGTAGTTTTTGAGCATTTAGAATATTTTTTCTTCTGAATAAATAAGAACAAATTAAGAGGAGTAGTTCTCAATAGCGGATTAATATTTGTAACTGTTGTTGATAAAAGGTCAGACAAGATGGCGGAAAATTCGTCTGGGAAGAGACTGTCGATATCGTTTACTTTACCAATTTCATGCCAAATATGTCTTGGAAAGGTAATTAGTTTAAAGTTTCAAATATTTTATGAGGCAAAGAACATTTACATGTGAATTTTAGTACATGTTCTCCTGATTCCCCATAGTATTGCTAACAAACGTTAAGTTTGTTTATGAACCTGTAAAAGTGTAAGCCTATCTGAAATCCCACGAAGTTTCTTGGCATGCAGGCAGTGATACTGTTTAAAGGATTACCTCTGGAGGCCGGAATAACAGTAGCAGAAAAAAGTCATAAGAAGTGCCTGTGTGCGCAACGCGACGACGTTTTGGGGGTGATTTATATAATAATAATATTCTTTAATAAAAAAATACATCTTGAAAAAAAGTTTTTGGGGTGCGTTGTATACATGATCAGATGATGCTGCATTCATGTGTTTCACTTAGTTTCACGGACACAAAAATCGACTCCAGTTTGTGGGAGTGGGGTGGATGCAAAATGGGTCAACTCGTACCCGAAATGCTCGGGTTAACTCGTACCCAGGTCAGCTCGGACCCCAAAATTCGCACCCAAGTTAACTCTTAGTACCCAGGTCATTTCGTGCCCGAATAAACTCGTACCCAGGTTGGTTCGTACCCGAGTCAACTCGTACTCCCCTGCAGAGCATTTATAGGGCTTTGATGCTCACATTTATTGAACGCGTGTTCCTTTTACCAGTCGGATTACGTTGAAAATCCCCACCGTTTTCAGGACATAAAATGCACCTGACTACAGCGCGCACCCCCTGAACAGAAATGTTCCATAGACGCACCTCTCCATCCAGTCAGTGTCTTTGTCCATTTTAAATTTATGCATCCAAGTCTTGTTTTGTATGGCCTCATTAATTTGAATTATTAAAATCAGTGAATATACTCAGATCGAACATGTGTGGTTGATGTCAGCTTCTTGTTTGGCTTGATTAATTTGAATTAATAAAATCAGTGAATATGCTCTGATAGTATGGTTCAACCGTTGATGTCACAGCTTCTTTTGGGGAGAATATATAATAATTAAGTGCAAAAGGGGAAGAAAAATTATCGCATGTATCGAAAACAAAAACAAACAGAATTGTAATCATTGATAAAATTAAACCGTTCAGAGAAAAAAGGGCGGAAAAAAAGGTAATCCTCATTCTGGGTACATGTGCTAGTCGGCTGGGGTATGACTTGACTGGGGTACAATTTGACTGGAGAAGACTTGACTAGGGTATGACTTGACTGGGGTACAAGTTGACCAGGGTAAGACTTAACTCGAGTACGACTTAACTCGGGTACGAGCTGACCCATAATCGGGTGGACATCGGACCCCACTGTTCTGGGCGTAACTAACACGTGCGTTCAGCTGTTAAAATCACTCTCAGACTTTTGGGAGCGATTTTAATAGATGCACAACATACATGTACATGCATATGGAAAGGCACCTTTTATCTGTGTGGGCTCAGACTTCCTGACAGCATTTTCATGAGCACAAAATGTGCATGTACTGGTATGTATCGCGGCTCCTACAGTATATTATCGCAGTAACTCTGTTAATTATCGTGGTATCAGAAATTTTGAATTTTGCGTTGCCAGTGAGTTCCCCATCAGCAATATTCACCCAAGTAATCAATAATTTGTGGCCTGAGGAAAAGGTTTATTGAAACAGAGAGAAGAATTCTGCAAGTTTTGACAGTTACATTCCTGACGCCACCCGGCCCTTGGACATCCGTTGCTAAGTTCCCCAGCAACAGATTGATTACTATTATTGATTATTATTTGGCCAATATCGAAATGGCCAAAAGGCACATTTTAACTATGAAAATGCCAATTTTTTTCGCAGTCAAAATAAGGCTTTTGCACTGAAAAATCTTTTGCGTGCGTAATGCGCGCCCCCAATCTCCTTTACAATAGACTTTATCGGCTTTGTAATTAGTTGGATAAAAAATGATATCAAATGTAATTTAGACAAACAACAGTTTGGTTCTCTTGAAGACAACTCAGCTGCTCACTATTTGATTAAAATGTTGGATCAAATTCATCGTGATACTGATTCGGCCAAAAACTCTGCTGTTGTTGTTGCCACAGACTTCCAAGGCCTTCAATCGTGTGGACCACAATATTCTTATTCCTAAATTCATCGATTCCGGTGTTCGTAGATTTATCATTCCTTGGATTTGTAGCTTTCTTTCTGAGCCCACCCAGGCAGTCTCTTATCAAAATGAGATTTCTGAATTGTGGTCTATTCATGCTGGTATTCCGCAGGGCACGAAACTGGGACCTGTTGCCTTTTTAGTCACGTTATCAATGACGCTGGATCTAACTTTCCTGAAGTCAATTATGTATAACAGGTTTTGCCCTTACCCAACGTATATTAATAAGCACTGTATGCTCAGTGCTTGTCCGAGAGCTTGCGAAAAAAACCTC